CAAGGTCCATCCATGTTGTTGCAAATGGCAGTATTTCATTCGTTTTTATAGCTGAGTAGTATTCCATTGTGTAGATATACCACATTTTCCGTATCCACTCATCCGATGATGGACATTTGGGCTGATTCCAGCTCTTGGCTATTGTGAAGAGTGCTGCAATACTGTGTTACTTTTCATTCTTACACATTTTTAAAATTTTCACTGGAATTAATAATTGTCTTGTTTTAATTTGCCTGATTTATCTGCATACTATGTATATAAATTCATCTCAAACTCTCCACCAACTATTTGAAACAGCAGTTCTCAAGGTGGTCCATGGACTCCTTGGGGTCACTGAGACCTTTCAGGAGTCTATGATGTCTAAACTATTTTCATAATAATACCACAGCATTATTTGCCCTTTTCCACGTGCTGACATTTATACTGATCATACAAAACCACTGGCATGTAAAACTGCTGTTGCCCTGGCAATGAATCAGGCAATGGCGACAAACATACCAGTGGTTACTGTACTCTTCACTACCTCACACTCATGTTAAAAAAAAAAAAAGCTAGTTCCCTTAAGAATGTTCTTAATGGAGCAGTAAAAGTTATTAATTTTATTATGTCTCAACCCTTGAGTACTTGTTTTCCACTTATGCTGCATGCAGAAATATGATGGTCATCTTGAGGAGAAGCACTGATGTAACTGAGCTGTGAGATGAACTGATCGCTTTTTTTATGGAACACCATTTTTACTTGAAAAAACAACTGACATACAAACCGTAGTTATTTAGACTTGGATATATGGCACTTCAAGGAAAACAACTGACATTGTTTATTGACAATGATAAAATTCAAGCTTTCACAAAAATTAGAATTTTAGTAACTCTGTACCTGACATATAAGCTTGACATTTTCCTAATACTTAAAGACTTTTCTGATAAGATTGGTAGTGATGTTAACAAATGTGACTTTTTGATATTATATAATGAAATGTGTTCACATTGAAAAGATCAGCATAATAAGCCAATGTTTTCTACATGACCAATACATAATGTTAAAAAATCATTCATAAGTAAAAGATCCATTTGAAGTGTAAAATATGCCAGTGGAATTTTATGTAACCCAGTAAAAAAAGTTCAGTTGATACTGTATTAATCTGCTAGGGTTGCCATAACAAAATACCATAGACTGGGTGGCTTAAACAACAGAAATTTATTTCTGACAGTTCTGAAGGCTGGAAGTTCAAGATCAAGGTGCCAGCCAATTCGGTTCCCAGTGAGGGATTTCTTCCTGGCTTGCAGACAACTGCCTTCTTTCTGTCCTCACATGGTAGAAAGAGAGAGCACAAGCTTTCTTGTGTCTCTTCTTATGAGGACACTAATTTTATCAGCTTAGGGCCCCACCCTTATGACCTCATTTAACCTTAATTACCTTCTTATAGGCCCTATCTCCAACAGTCCCACTGGGGATTAGGGCTTCAACATATGAATTTTAGAGCAACAACACAATCTCAGTCCATAAAAGATGTGGTTTCAGATTCTAGATTGCAACTAACTTTTAAGAAACTATTTGTTGGATTTTGGTTTAGCACAATGATGAATATCCACAATTATCTGAAAAAGTTATTAAAGTACTCCTTTTTTTTCCATATCTTCCTGAAGTCAGATTTTCTTCATATACTCAATCAAAACAACTTATTCCAAAAGACTGAAGGTAGAAGCATCTATGAGGATTCAGTTTAATGTCTTCTTCAAAACAGACATGAGGGTATTTGTGAAAATATGAGACGAATTGCTCTAATTTTTTTTTGAAAATAGTTATTTTTCATAAAATGTTTTTATGTTAACATATAATAGGTTTATTACTGCTGTTTTAATTAAAATATTTAAAATTTTTATCAGTTTTAATTTGTAATAGTGTAAACAGCAGTAATGCAGATAAACAAAAGCTCCTTGAGGTCCTCGATAATTTTTTAAGTGCAATGGGCTGTAAGACCAAAGTTTGATAACTTGGTCTTTATAATCTTTCAAGAAATTCAGACACAGATATTTTAACTATTTCATTTTCTCAAAGACATCTCTCTTAGATCCTTCTGATCTGCTCCAACCTGGATTAGCTGCCTTCCATGCCTGTGTACAGCTGTTACCCTTGGAACTTTCTTCACCATCATCTAGGGCCAGTGTCAGCTCATTATAGTCTGTGGGCCAAATCCAGCCTGTCACTTGTTTTTAAATGAAGTTTTATTGGAACACAGCCATGCTTATTCATTTACATGTTGTCCACTCTCTGCTATAATGGAAGAACTTAGTAGTTGCCACAGAGACCATACGGCCCGTAAAGCCTAGAATATTTACTACCTGGCCTTGTACAGGAAAGGTTTGCTGCCAGTGATCTAGGCAATTCCTTCCCTTCTTTTCTGTGTTGGTTTCCTCTTTCTTGATTTACTCTTTCATTTTGGTGAAGTACATCCTCTAGAAGCTTCCTGAGAAAGGGCATATAAAAGGTACCTTTTTCTTGAGACCTTGCATGTCTGAAAATACCTTAGCTGGGTACTGAATTTTAGCATGGAGATCATAGTCTTTCAGAAATTAGAAAGCTTTGTTCACTGTCACCTAGTTCTTAGGGTTCTGGTACAAAAGTCTGAAGTTATTCTGATTTCTGATCTATTCTACATGAGTTTTTCCTTCCTCCTTCTTAGAAACCCATAGGATCCTTTCTTTGTTCACAGTGTTCTGAAGTTTTACGATGATGTGGTCTTGGGGATGATGTGCCTTTACCACTGTGCTGGGCAAGGACCTCTTTCAATCTGGAAAGTCATATCCTCTAGTATTGGGGCATTTCCTAGAATTATTTCATTGATCATTTCTTACCCTCTGTTTTCTTTGTTCTGTTTCTGGAATTCTCATTGAATAGATGTTGGATATCTTAGATAGGTCCTCTAATTTTCTCATCTTTTCTATCTCTTTCTGGGTCAATTCTTTGACTTTATCTTCCAAACAGAATCTTGAATCTTCTTCATCTCTTCTTTGCTGTTTTTAATTTCCAAGAGCTCTTTTTTTCATCATCCAAATGTTTCTTTTTTTAAGTCTATAGATCTTATGATATACGCTTTCAAAAAAATTATCTAAGGATATAAATGATAATTTCCTTCCCTGTTTAGTGTGTTTTGTTCCACTTGCTTTTTTTTCTGTTTATTTTGTCTTCATATTTCTTTCTTTTTTTTAGTGGCTGGCCAGTTCAGATCTGAACCCTTGACCTTGGTGTTATGACACCATGCTCTAACAAACTGAGCTAACCGGGCAGCCCCCTGTCTTCCTATTTCATATTAAAGGCTTTTCACTTGGTTGTCTCTTCATACATGAAAATAAAATCTTACAAAGCTGATTTTTTGATGAAATCTTAAAAAGCTCTGATTGTGTAGGTGGAGCTTACTGTCTTTAAGCTTTACTGTAGGGAGAAATAGCTGAGCTGTCAGTTGGGAAACTCTTAAGATTAGTATTTTTAAATCTTTATTCTTCACTACTCAGATTCCTCATAAAAAGATTTTCCCATTTCCTGACTCACGGATACAGGCCTGGCTACCAGAATTCTGGGGTTGGCTGGGAAAAACAAGCTAGGACTCTTAACATTCAGTATGCCAACATTTATTCAATCTTCCTTAATGTACCACTACCAACAAGTTTATCTGGTATCCCCTAGTTCAGACTCTCCTTACCTTATACTGTCCAGAGAATAAATTTCTGGTCTTTTGCTAAGTTATGGGAGGGGCAATCTTTTAAAATAAACTTTCAACCAATGCTGCTGTTTGCCTCATTTTCAGCCACCCCTCCCCCACCTTCCACAGTTACCTGGTGCTGTCAATTTCCGAACGTTTTTAGGGTTTTGCTATGTAAATTGGGTTGTTTCTTGGCTTTCTCTATTGCTGGCTCAGGATTCAGCTTTCTCAGGACTGCTAAGTCAGTTAACACTCATCCATCTGCTACTCAGCTTCCAAAATTTTGTTGCTGTTGTCTCCTCTTCCACTCTCTTTGTCTTTGTGGTTTATGTCTTAAAAAATAATCTCTTTACTGTTGTTTTAGTGAGGTTTTGGAAGGGTATGAAAGTAAAAGTGGGTATTAAATTCTCCATCTTTATTTGGAACCTCTTTATAATTTTTTTTTAACTTCCATTTAATATTACAGCATAAATATTTCCCATGCTCTTCCATGGTCTTCGTAAACAGCTTTAGCAATTGTGTTTTCCATTGAGTAGGTACCATAGCTTACTTAATCATTACCCTATTTTTGGATTTTTAGAGTTATTTCTGTTTTGGGGGAGGGGACTAGTTTTCCTAGAGTCATCTTTCATTTATCTGTCTCATTTATTCCCTATGTCTAGAGAATGCCCCTCTATTCCTAGTCTGCAGTTTCATCACCCTGTGCCTGGATTACAGCACTACCCTGTTGATTCATCTTCAAACCTCCAGTCATCCATGATAATGCAGCATTAATAGTGCTAAAATGTCACCTTTCTCATGACACTTCAGATAAACCCCAACACCTACCATTCATTTGTGACTGGTATTTGAGACTCCATAGTTTGATTCCAAGCCCCCTATGCAAACTCCCCCACTCTTTCTCAAATCCTCCTCCAAACAGGCTCTGCTCTCCTAACTGCAGCTTAGGGGGCCCCCTGCCTTTGCTAATCCACACTCACCTTCACTTAAAGCCCATCTCCTGCACTAAGCCTATCCCACATTACTTTGCTTACTCAATTTCTTCCTTCACCTGCTAATAGACAAGAAACAGGTAACTCATTTTGAAGTGCTTAGGGTTAGTCTTGCCTTCTAAATGGGACTGAAGCTCTTCAGAGGTAGTGGCTCTTACATTTCTTGTCTATGGTGGCTGCCCCATACTTCCCTCATCCTACCACCATGGCATTCCAGCCCTGTGCCAGGCACATGATGGGTGCTTACCATGACTCACAGAATGGAACGGTGGTAAGAACAGAAAGAACCATAACATGTAAGTTGTTACCTTGCCCTCTGGAGTCAGTGTCCAGATCACAGAGAAAGTCAGCTTGTCGGTCCCAGGGTTGAGGCTGCACAGCTCCTCACACAGCAGCCTGGGAAGCATGGGAACCACCTGTAAACAGAGGACAGGCCCATGAGCACCTTTCCCCAAACTGCAGGATTTTGTCCCAGGCTTAGGAGAAGCCCAGAGGGCAGAGTTTTGGTGAACAGACTCAGCTTTTCCATAGCTAGCTGAATATGGAGATGGCTCTGTTCCCTGAAGACTCTGCAGAATGACCACACTACCTTATACTCTTCCATGAGCCTCTAGAGTCAATGGGAATGTGAGCTGAGAAAATGAGAACAGCTGGTAACAGAAGGTAAAACTATGTTGCAGCAATGAAAAATTGCCACATTTTACTATCTACAAAAACTAGACTCAAGAAAGACCTGTACTTCTGTATATAACTATTCTAGTTGAACTACACAGTTAGGAACCTAAGGGTTGAGTATAAAATCCTGACAGGGTTCCCTCAAAGGAAAATCAGGCTATTGTCAAATCAATGCTTTAGTAATTGAACATACCACAATTTACCAAATTGTATGTTGGAACATTAACAGAATACAGTACACTAATAAAATATCACTATAGCAATAAAACTTAAAGGTTCATAAATCTAGGTTTCCCAGATGAGTACTGTGGTCAACCAGTCAGTCATTTTGTAGCTTTTTCAGCTTAAATGGCCTCTCCTTATTGATCTTTCTATCTGATAATAAACTGAGTCAATAGTATACCCTCTTTAACTAAAACATTTAACTTACTTTTAAATAATGACTTACAGTTGTCCCGGATTATTACTTGTTTTTTCTAAGATTCCAAACATGAAATGATGATCTCTTCCTATATCTCCTGAAGATATTTCAAACTCTTTCCCCTTTACCTTTAAATCTGTTCCTTTTCCCATGTTTTTCTTGTTTAATGGCACTACCATCCACCTCACCTTTCAAAACTAAAAACATCAGCATTGCCAGCCATTTCCTCAACACATTTACAGTGGATCTACTTGATTTGCAGTTTTGAGCATGGGTAACCCTGTAACCCTGTGCCAGCTGAGAAGTGACAGGCAAGAGGGGCAACTATGCCACAGTTGAGGTAAATTTAGCTACTTACATTTCTTTATCTGCAAAAATCAAAACAAATCCTAGTGGTTTCTTATTCTGAGTGAAGTATCTGTACCTGTATTCTGCTTCAGTACAGTAAATATCTTTGGCAAGAAAAAGTAAATTCTAGAATTCAGGGGGAAAGTTTCAATACCATACCATCTCATGACTGAATGATAAAGATTTTGCATAATTTCATAATTTCAACCTTTGGACTATGCTATGGACTATAAATACACACACACACCCCACCACCACCACCACCACCACCACTTCATACACTGAAGCCCTAATCCCCAATGTGACTGTACTTGAAGATAGGGTCTTTAGGAGGTAATTAAGGTTAAATGAGGCCATAAGGGTCGGGCCATAATCCAATAGGACTAGTGACTCTATAAGAAGAAGAGAGAGAGAGAGAGAGAGAGCACACACACTCTCTCTGCAAGAAGGCACAGAGAAAAGGCAATGTGAGGACACAGCCATACACAAGTTGGGATGAGCACCCTCACCAGGAAACGAATTGGCCAGCACATTGATCTGGGACTTCTAGCCTCCAAAACTGTGAGAAAATAGATTTCTGTTGTCTCAGCTACCCAGTCTATGGTAAATTGTTGTGGGAGCCTGAGCTAACTAAGACTAAATCAAGTTTGCTGGGTGTGCATTCTTGCATTCTTCTCTGGATTGCTGTATCAGATAATTATACCACCTGTATCTTGGTAGATGGGTGCTCATCTAGCATGCTTGTTGCAATGATATTAGTCCAGGACTTAATACCTTTTATTGTTTTTTACAGACAGTATTTTTTCTAAGAGTTCTAGGCAGTATCTTACTTTAAGTCACAAAGCTGAGCATCTGCTAAAGTAACATAATTCCTGACTTCATGTTTTAATGTTTGTCAAAAGAAAGTCATTGCAACTTGGATCTAGACTGGACCCTGGAACAGAACGAGAACATTGATGGAAAAACTGGTGAAATCCAAATAAAGTATGGCGTTTAGTTAATAGTAATCTTCCCATGTCAGTTTCTTAGTTATGACAAATGCAGCCTGTTAATGTGAGATGTTAACAATGGGGGAGGTTGGTGTGGGGTATATGAAACCTCTCTGTACTATCTTTGCAACTTTTCTGTAAATCTACAAGTATTATAAAATGAAAGAGCTTATTAAAAAGAAAGCCACCACTTTCATTAATTGATCTGGTGTTATAAATTTAAATATAAAATAAATTTATGCTAATTATGCTAACGAAATCTGATCTGTTTTTATACATTAGAGTTTCAAGTGAAGATTTTATTTGCAAAAAGGGCTTCACTACTAAAAAAACAAACAAACAAGGTCGAAAGACCATTAACCAACTGAGTGAAGTGCAGACTCATCAGTGGCATGGTGCAGGAAAAAGAGCAAAGGAGCAAAAAGACTTTGACACCAGAGAGACTTGGGGTCTAATCCTGGGCCCACCACTTCCTGCACAATTTGGGCAACTTAGTACAATTCTGAGTGTTGGTTTTCTCATCAGTAAAACGATATTGAAGATGTTCACTACAAGTCAGCTCACTGGCCAGCCCATGGCGCCCCAGGTCCTCTGTTACCTGGCCCAGCCTTCCCCTTTAGCCTTGGCCCCGGCCCTCCTATCCAGCACTGTACATGCCAGCCACGGGAGCATTCCTACTGCAGCCTCCTCCCCTGCCGTGCCTGCAGACTGCTCCAGCTCCTGCACATGTTGTTCCCTCTTTCTGGAACACCTTCCTGGATGTTTTACACCTGGCAAACATTTATACGTCCTTTTGGATTCAGCTTATTGTCATCTCTAGAAGGTTTATCCAGACTCCTCCACAACACTTCCACAGCATTCACCACACTACATCCTGCTTTTTCAAATGCCGCTACTCTCCACTAGGTCCTGGAGATTCTCAGGAACAAGGACGAAGTCTTGCTCCTGTTTCTCTATCCAGCAATGACACACGGCTGGCACTTGTAGTTTGCAGCTGACTGACTTCTGTCTAGGAAATAAATAACCTGCTTTTTCTAAGTTTACTGTTTATTGCATCATGTAAAATATGAAATACACGATAGACTTCTATTTAAGCATTTTTACAAAAATCTCATAGGTAACTAGTATTTTAAGTATATGGTAAACTTTGGCTACTCCCTCCTAAAAACTATCAGCACACTCAATGGCTACCCAGGTTATAAAAATTACTTGGTGTTCTTTATCTTTCTTATACATAAGACATTTTACACTATTCACACTGCAATGGTCAGATGCCAAAAGAGCCTACATGCTCATGAAGAAGCTAAACATTAAAACTTTTTGGGTAGTATAATTATATTTACTTTTTAAAAAGCATTCCTTTTAATGAACTTTCACCAGATCTTGAGGTAGAATTCAGATGGAATCCAGAGAAAAGTCTTTATGTCCCTACAGTTTTGTAAATACAGTTATTCTTCTTTCAAAGGAAAAGGAATTAAGAGGTTACAATCACAGTTGTGGCTTGGCACCTCACGGCCTCTCATAAATTGGGCCCGATTCTTGCTGGGGTCACTGTGAATGTGCTCGCCCACAACCCTGTGCTCAGCAGGGATCCCCGCGTAGGAGGGCTGGAGAGGCAGGCGGCCTCCTCCGACAAACTGCTTCCTCAAATACAAGTCCTGTTACGTCAGGGGAAGCCCTGCCTGGACCATGGCGTGACAGTCCACACACATGCATCGGCTATGTGAGGCCTGCCACGGTACCTGGAGTCCTGGAGAGATTCTGAGCCAGGGTGCTGAGTGTAGAACACTATGTACGACTGCAAAAGGTCTTTGCAGGAGTGAGAGACTCCTAACTGTCATGAGCATTGTGTGAATGCGTATGCATCCTCTGACCCCTTGATATTTTCCCCCAGGCTGGTCCTTTGTCCTGCCCTCATTAGCTTCACTACTAAGTATGGACGACATAGATAACTCCTTCGAAGTTCTTAAACTCCCTCATTTCCACTGTTCCAACTCTAAAAACCCCACGATGCAATCTGCCTTTTCTGCTTTTGCAATTCCTAGCTCAACAGTGACAGGGAAAACTGTTGGGCCATGCGAAGGTGTTTCATCCCCCTTGCTCTTGCCTCTGTGGGGCTGGCAAGCCTTTCACCTGTCTTTGTTAGTTCCTTCTCCATGTCCTTCAGATTCGATTCCAAACATTATTACTCCCTCAAACCTCCTACCGGACTGCCTTTTCACTCTTTCTCAGCAGAAAATCTCAACTCTTCTTCACAGAGAACACTGACTGTCAGACTCAACCCCTCCCAGACACCCTTCCAGTTCTTTTCCTTTGGCCAGTTTCTCCTGACCCCAGGCCCCCTCACTTTACATGTGTACCTTGGTCCCCTGCTATGTCACAATGAGCACCCTCCCTGTCCAAAGGCTAGCTCTCTGTCTGTGCTTTTGATCCCCCAGCACCCTTCAGCTTTTCTAAAGGAGCTACCCGTTCAGCTGGTCTCTCTCTCCCTGTGGGCCATAAAAACGAGGTCAGCATTGCCCACTCTCAACACAAGCACCACTCCCTAGCCTAGATCCTCCCCTTCACTTCTCATATAAGTTTCTCAAAATAGTTTATGTTTCCTAGCTTCATTCTTACCTTCCTTTCACTCCTCAACCCAATATAACATTTTTTAATTACAAAAATTACACAGTCATTGTAGAACTTTTACATACCAAACCAAAACATTAAAATGTAAACCTTTTGAGGCCCTCTTCCCTTAGAATACACAATGTTAACGTGTTGGTATAAAACCTTTGTCTTTTTTCTGTGTACACATGACTACGTCAGGTAAACTATCACATATTTTAGGTGCATATATTTTTTAAAATACAGAACTAACGGACTCCGTTCCTTGTCCAGCTCCTTCAGTGCTGGTGCTTGTCATCCTCTGCCCTTCGCTCTCCTTTCTTCTCGCTGCACGTTCTGCCCCAGGGTCTCCTTCAGCCCTGAGTTTGTACTA